GATTAAAGATATGCTACACCATATAATACTGTTCTCCTGCCTCTGTAGAGAGAATATAGATTCATGTTTTTAACCACTGCTACAAACTGTGGCTCAACACACCAAAGAACCACTGTGGATTCTCCCAACTACTAAATATACACATTCGAGTTCCATATTCAGAGTTCAAAACTAAGAACCAGGTATAACCATGGCTCTGGTACATCCACCTTCATTTGAATTAGGATAACAGAACTTATATTCACATTATGATGCTTGGTTTACATTAGATGAAGGATTACATTAGATGAATATCCTAAGTCTTCTGCACACCTAGGATTTGATCATCCTGTATTATTACAGTGTGGACTGTTTGAGAAGAATTGAGCAAAAAGGGGGAAATTTCAGAGATGTTAAATGTATAGTCCTGTGTGGACAAATGGATGAGGAGGAATGTCTGGATGCTTGCTGTGAGATGTTTGATCTCATTGTGACACCCCGGAGACTGTGTTAATACAATTAACTTAGAATCAGGGGTTGGAGCCAGCAACTAGCCAACCAGACTCAGTCGTAGAGAAGCCGGGAATATGGATAGAGAAGACACACAGGAAGGAGTAGGGAGGGACTTGGAGATTTCCTGCTTCTTCAGTCTGGGACATGTGGAGAGAGGTGCTTGCTGGGTCTCCATTAAGAAAGGCAAGGTCGGCTGGTCACTTCTCTGCTTCTTTGCTCTATCAAGTTTTCACCTCAATATCTGACTCCTGAGTCTTTATTGGTACTAGAACAACTTACATAAAAACAACAGATGCTGGGTGGAGGGGATAGATGTGGCCCTGGTTACTTCAAATACTATCCTATTGAGAGAGAGGGGGCAGGGGGTGAACTATTGACCTACTGCAGTGGGGACTATTTCTGTCACGTTTCCTCCAGAGTCTCATGCCCCCTCTATCATAATTACTAGCTAATTAATTGTCTGTGGACTGTGGAACCCTTGGGTCTCAGCTGAATTAATGAGCTGTTTCTCCATAGGACAGGAGTTCTGGGATCCCTCTTTCCACCAAATACCATGTCAGATGTTCCAACACCAGAACCACTAAAACAGGTGCTAACTTCTCCATACACCAAAGGCGAAGGCCATTTGTAAAATCGTTGATGGTAGAGATGTCCCTGCCTTCTCTTGACCTCATTTGTGCTATTGAAGACAGTGGATTGTGGTGATTTACACAACTCTGATTGCTTACAAATATATTCCCTTAGCTTATTGATTTAAACTTTCTTTGCTTCAACTTCTCATATTAGGAAGGTGCAGATATATAGAGTTGTGAGGGACAATCTTAAGTGTGTAGACAAATGTTTAACACCCAGCTTGGCTAGAGGTATGCAGAGCCTTATTTTGAAGTATTTGATCCATTTACCACAGTGAAAATATTCCTGGCAAGGAAGATTCCAGCTAACAATGGCTTAATAACTACTAATTCACAAAACCTGAGAATTATCAAGAGGTGCTATGAGCTAGCTCTAACTTATTGCATATTCATGTACTTAGAAAACTGCCCAGCAGTAAACATTAGCAATTCTTATTAATACTAAGATCTAGCCACCCATTCAGAACTGAGTAACTTCCTTATATTCAGTTTTCTTCTTGATGTCCATGAGGGGACTAGGCACTGGTTGAGGTTTGTGATAGGCAATTGCTATCCAAAGAAGATATTCTCTGCTTGAAGGTAAGTAAAATGTTTCTTCTCTGTAAATATCAGATGTGTACTCAACAACCAAGCCTTAGGCTGGAAGGCAAGTGAATCCAGGGATTTTGTTCATTTGGCTTTGCATATTGTTATTGGATGAGGTTCCTTTAAAAAAAAGGATTTCAATTAGTGTATGTGTGTCTGTGTGTATGTTCATGTATGTGTTCATGTGTGTGCCAGTGTTTTCAGAGGCCAGAAGAGAACATTGGATTCCCTGGAGCTGGATCTATAGGACCTTATGAACTGCCTGACATGGGTGCTGGGAGCAGAACATTGGCCCTTAGGAAGAGCACCAAGCACTTTTAACTGCTGAGGAAGAGCACCAAGCACTTTTAACTGCTGAGCCAACTCTCCAGCCCACTCTGTGGCCCAAGCTGGCCTCAAGCTCACCATCCTCTTTTCTCTGCCTCCTGGGTGCTAGCATGAAAGGCATATGCTACCATGCTTGAACTAAATGGTGAATTGTTATCACCCTTATTGAATCAGGTGGTCACATGGTTTCATTCCTTCAAACTCTGAATAGTAGCAGAACATGGTCAGCACTGTTCCCCAGCAAGAATCCTCTTTCTGCATTTCTCTGAACATCAGCTGTGGGAAATGTTCCCTAGAATCTTGGTGCTAATATCTGTTGAGTAGGTGACCTGAGACATGTTATTTACCCTGCCAATTCAATCATTGATAAAATTGGTAAGATCATTACAAGGATACTATGGAAACCAGATTTTCACATAGCTGTGTACCACAACTGGCCCAAGGGAAACAGTCCACAGGTGTAAATTGCTATTTCAGACCTTCATTGACCCCTTCAGGTGGCCAACCCCTGCCCTGGTTTGTAGCACAATGTTGACACCTTAAAGCTTAAGAAAAAGACAAATGCACAGACTAATAAATGTCAGGAAGACAGCTGGGTAGTGGTGTGTGCTTTAATCCCAGCACTCAGGAGACAGAGGCAGGTAGATCTCTGAGTTTCAGGCCAGCCTGATCTAGAAAGCCAGTTCCAGGACAGCCAGGGCTACACAGAGAAACCCTATCTAGAAAACCCAGAGAGACAGACAGACAGAAGGACAGGAAGATACAGACTAGGAGGAGCAGTGGCAAATGGAAGGTATCAAAAGAGTAAAAGGACGTCACTAAGGTAACAGAAACAAGGCAGAGAAAAGGAGGGAGTGAATAACCAAACTAGAAACAGAAAGTTGGTAAGAACATTAGTTGATGGATGAATGGAGTTGGGTGCCACTAAGGTAACACACTAAAAGCAAATGATGGTTAACTGCTACTTGACATCAGCCTCCTTTGCCCTTCACCAGGAGGTCAATGAGGAACCACCTGATCTCCACCACTCCCTCTTTTCTCTCAGCTACCAGGAACTATCTGGCGGGGAGGAATAATGGAAGAGGCCAAGCTTAAGTGATGGGCCTGGAGAAGGGAGCCTGAGAAACATCAGTTTAGCTTCTGTGTCCTGACAAGTACCCAGGGTGAGTCTTGATCAGGCCCCTTATATCACACTAATCTGACAGCTTCAACCCTCCAACCAGACACAAAGGCCATGGTCAACCAGAGCTCCCCAGTGGGCTTCCTCCTGCTGGGATTCTCTGAACACCCACGCCTGGAAAAGATTCTCTTTGTGGTTGTCTTGTGTTCCTACCTCCTCACCCTCCTGGGAAACACCCTCATCCTCCTGCTGTCCACACTGGACCCCAGGCTCCACTCTCCAATGTACTTCTTCCTCTCTAACCTCTCCTTCCTGGACCTCTGCTTCACCACAACCTGTGTCCCCCAGATGCTGGTCAACCTCTGGGGCCCCACAAAGACCATCAGCTTCCTGGGATGCTCTGTCCAGCTCTTCATCTTCTTATCCCTGGGGACAACAGAGTGCATCCTCCTAGCAGTGATGGCCTTTGACCGCTATGTGGCTGTCTGCCAGCCCCTGCACTATGCCACCATCATCCACCCCCGCCTGTGCTGGCAGCTGGCAGCTGTGGCCTGGATCATTGGCCTGGTGGAGTCTGTGGTTCAGACACCATCCACTCTTCACCTGCCCTTCTGCCCCCACCATCAGGTTGATGACTTCGTGTGTGAAGTCCCTGCTTTGATTCGACTGTCCTGTGGGGATACCACCTATAACGAGATACAAATGGCTGTTGCCAGTGTCTTCATTTTGGTTGTGCCTCTGAGTCTCATCCTTGTCTCTTATGGTGCCATCGCCAGGGCAGTTCTGAGGATAAACTCTGCAAAAGGGCGCAGGAAAGCTTTTGGGACCTGCTCCTCCCACCTCATCGTGGTCACCCTCTTCTACAGCTCAGTCATTGCTGTCTATCTGCAGCCCAAAAATCCCTATGCCCGAGAGAGGGGCAAGTTCTTTGGTCTCTTCTATGCAGTGGGCACACCGACACTCAACCCTCTCATATACACCCTGAGGAACAAGGAGGTAAAAAGGGCATTCTGGAGGCTGCTGCAGAAGGAAGTAGAGCCCAGCTGACACACACACTCTCCGCATGCTGAAGGGAAATTCTGTATGCCTTTATTAAAAGGCTATGCTGTCACCTCCCCGGCCTTCAGACCTACCCTGTCACTGTATGGGATGACACAGCGCACAATATGCAACACAAATATGAGAAACTCAGCCACAGAGTATAGTTGTCACATACAGACGACCACAGGAATCAAATCCTGTAATCTATCCGCACTGTACTTCTGTTAATTCACCTCTGTCCTCGTGTGCCTCATGTCACTGATTTTCCTTTTAGTTCCCTTCCCTCACCAGAGTGTTACTACTGTCTTTTAAAGATCTTACTTTTATGTTATGTTATGTCTGTGTATGAGTGTATGTGGGAATGCCCCAAGAAGCAGGAAGAGGGTGTAAAATTCCCTGGAGCTCAAGTTACAGATAGTTAAGCTGCCCAACATGAGTGCTGTATCTTGAACTTTGGTTCTTTGAAAGAATACCAGTGCTCTTAACCGCTGAGTCATCTCTCTTGCCCTTTGTCACTTTTTTTTTTTTTTTCACTTTCGATTCTATTTCACAATCTGGTTTTGCTGTATCTCCTTTTGAGTTTCTTTTTGTATTTCTTAATGCCTCTTGCTGTTTTATCCTCCAAATATCAGCAAGGGTTGAGAGGAAACTGAAACTTAGTTCAGAAACCCAACCACCCCATCCCCCCAAAAAATAGTGTTAGTATGTTTGCCTAAAATTTAGGCCCTGTGACTTCCAGTCAGACCATTCCCAAATGCACGCTGCGTTTCCCACACCATAATAGAATGTTCCAGTATCCTTACCTTGAGGCCAGAACAAAGCCTTGGGGAGTGGCCTGAACTGCAGTCCTGCAGCTCATTCTCTTTATGAGTGCTAGACAGTCAGCTCACAAAAAAAAGGCTTCTTGTGTGTTTGGGGGGGTGGGGGGGAGAGACAGAACAATTGGAGCAATGGGATTTTGGTGCCATCTACTGGCCAGATATGGACTGCATTAATATACCGACAAGTCATCTAAATCCTCCATACCAGGGCTAAGATCAATGTTGTAGTTAATTGGATATTCTTAAGATGTCTTGTGATGCTCCAGGTACCACTGAAAGTATTTTACAACCCTTGATGCATTTCATTCTTGTAGCATTACGAAGCTTTTTCAGGAGCAAAAACTAAGAGTTCAATTACCATCTCTCAAAGTTCTCAGCCAGGACTGGCACCCAGGAGGGCAGAATACAGATTCCCCAACTCTTAAGTCCTGCTTTGATATACATAGAGCCTTCCTAGCCCAAGTGAGAAGCCTCAATTTGTCCTCAAACTAAAGAGGAGTCCATCGTAACTAGACATGTGTCCACCCTGAGCCTCACCTCTCTAGTGAGAACATTAGAAACAGAAAACAACTTTGGCAAGAAATTTGAGCCTAAGGGTTTGTCTCAGTGGGACAGAGATTCCCTGCATGTGCAAGGCCATGGCTTGAGTTAAGAGGAGTCACTGTAAGTAACTGGTCATCAGTTTACTTCTGAGACTCCATCAAATCGTGCCTTCCAAGTCTCACACTGTGCACGATTAAGCATTCCCCCAGATCTGCACTAAAAATGGGCCCTCAAACCACACAGCTTTATCTTCTATATTTATTTTTGAGTCAGGGTCTCACTATGCAGCCCTGGCTGGCCCAAAACTCTGGCTTCTGACTTCTGAATGGTGGGATTAAAGGCATGTCACTACACCAGGCACAACATGAGTCTCTTTTTGTTTTTGTTAGGAGACAGGATTTCCTGTATAGCCCTGGAACTCACGCTGTAGACCTGGCTGGCCTCGAACTCTGGTATCTGCCAGCCTCAGTGCTGGGATTAAAGGTGTGTGCCACCACTGCCCAACTAACACAGGTCTCTTTAACCAGATTACTTTGAGCTAAAGGCTACAGGAAATCAACCCCCAGGGAATGCTGCCCAGCAGGAAACAGTTTTTCCTTTTCTAAAGTACATTTACATTTGAAAAGGCATCATTCTTATCAGTGAAGAGGGCACTTGCTTAAATCTGCATAACAAATTTTTATTCACAGGCTGGTATTTACCACTTTCCCTGATCTCCTTTCTGTTACACAACTCTCCCCTGCCCCCCCCCCCTCCATCAGCTCACTCTTAAGTGAAAAACCCTTCTCCTTTGGGTAGACTAGCTTGTATAAGGCCATTCTGCCACTCTTATTAATCTTTTACCTGCCTTCAAGACCTCAGCTAGAGAACCCATGACAGGGGGCTTTCCCCTCTTCTTCATACTCCAGAAGATGCACATCCATTTTGCTGCACCAGTCTGCCAGGCCCACACACCTGTACTCCGGTGCAGCTGGAAATCACCTAAAGCAGTGGTTCTCAACCTTCCTAATGCTGCTATCCTTTAAATACAGTTCCTCATGTTGTGGTGACTTCCCAACTATAAAATTATTCGTTTTAACTTCATAACTGCAATTTTACTTTTATGAACAGTAATGTAAATATCTGATAAGAAGGATAGCTGATATTCGAGGCCTTTTAAAAAGTCACTTGATCCCCAAAGGGGTCATGAATCACAGGTTGAGAACGCTGCACTAGAGTCTAGTAAGCCATGAAAGTGGATAAAATACAAATGATTATTAATAGCTTTTTTAAATCACAGGCTTAAGAGACAGCTTGATGTGGAGCCCACTATTGCCTTTTGGTTAATGGAACATGAAGGACAAAGTAAATAATTCCTTGCTCTAAAAGCCTTAACAAATAACCGAAATTTGCCTGTCTCAGGCAGCTGAAAGTTATGGAGTATTGTGAGGGGAAGCTGCAATTAGCAGAGTCATCTTCAAACAGGACAGGCAGAAAGGGCAGGTCTGAGGTGGCAAATAGCCCTGGCATCTCCCATGAAGGGCCTGGTGAAATGCTGAATATCAGATGAACAAGATTGGTCTGATCAGGCTGGGTACAATGGTACACACATGTAGCCCCAGCAATCCAGAGGCAGAAGCAGGTGGATTTCTGAGTTTGATGTCAGCCTGGTCTACATAGTGAGTTCCGGGCCAGTCAGGGCTACTTAGTGGGGGCTTGTCTCAAGAGAGAGACGGAGACATGCAGATATACAAACTCAGTGATCCTCAAGAGAGAAGATGCATAGTATGGTGAGGTTAGAACACTGTCTTTGCAGAAGGCACATAAGCCTCAGTGGATCATGTTTCCAAATAAATTTGCAATAATATATTTATTCTACATGTGTTTTTTTCCAGAGTAACAGTCCAGTTCTACCCCCTTGAGCCTAGCTAGCATGGTAGAGTTCAGCAGAAACAGTACTGTGTGACTCCCAAGACTTTGCTGAAAAATACCTATGTACCTGTCTCTCCCACCTCCAACGGCACTCACCTTTGGGATCCAGTTTACTACATCCGAAGAATCAGATAACCCTGTGTAAGGGTTTCAGCCCTGTGTAAGGGTTTCAGTCCACATCCCAGCCAAGGAGCCTGCTAAGCCAAAACAAAACCCACCTCTAGGGGTTATAAAGGACTTAAAATCTGGCTCCCTTAAAATCAACCCTGCAGGCTGTTGTGTAGTGTGGACTCCCCTCACTGTAGCCTATTTAATGCTTAACCCATAGAAACAATGACGTTGCTATTGTTTAAGCTGATGTGGGTGCTAGGCTACACAATAGTCAATGCATAGTCCAGATGTTGACTCCATTTCCTATTGCTGACAATGTTCCTCTCCCCCAGTTGCAACCCCACTCCATAGACTGTTTCGAGGGATCTGTCTCTGCCTCTCTCCTCTCCATCTTGCTCACTTCTCTTTCCCAGAAACTGCCACAGTAACTGACTCGTCCAGTCAGCACTTCTTAAGTGGAGCCAGGTGCAGTGGCTCATGACTGTAATCCCTCGGAAAGCTGCAAAGGAACTTGTGTAAATTTCAAACCTGGACTACCCAGCCACAGCCAAATAACAAGACCCTGTCTCAAAAATAAAATAAAATCAGGCACAATGCTTAACACCTATAATCCAGTACTTGGAAGGCTGAGGCAAGATGATCACCATGAGTTCAAGGCCAGCCTGGGCTATATATAGTAAGTACCATGCTCCTGGTAGAGCTGAGACAAGACCTTGTATCAAAAAACAAACAAATAACAGATGTTATGGTGGAAAATGTTATGGACCCCAGCCCCACCATATACCTAAAGAGTTATGGTGGAAGTTCTACCCAAGCCCCCCTCCCCTATCTCCCTCCAAACCCTGCTGCATCTCAGAAATGCATCCAACAAATGATGACCCCCCCCAGATGCTCAAGACCACTCCCACAGGGTATTTAAACAGCCTCTCAGAAAATAGACTCATGATTTTCCGGTCTCTCTTTCCTGTCTGGAGGCTAGAAGGCCATCCAGGAGCATTCTATCCATTAAACATGGGATTTGATTTGGTCTGATTTGGATAGCTGCATCGGCAGAGAGGGTGTAGAAAAATTTTCAATAACAACAACAAAAACAACCACCTGTTGACAGGCATGGTAGTACACACCTGTAATCCCAACACTTGGGGAGCTTCTTCAGCAAGAGGACAATTCAAGGATGGCATGAACTACATAGTGAGGGTGAGGCCCAACATCTATAGAGATGAAACCCTATCTTAAATGAATTACAAACAGTCATATAGTAGAAGGTACTCACAGAAAGCTTTAGTGTTTGGGGCTAGGGCAGAGATGACAAAAGACCACAGGTATGTAACAGGGCACTAAGACCTAGCAGGTAGTCACCTGGCTGAGGCAAACCTGGAGGTGCAGTAAGCCCCACTAAGCACAGGAGCAGATGCTGTCTGAGCTCCCTGGACCTTTGCACCAAGCACTCCTGTCAGCTCTGCTTTTTGGCTGGGTTCCTGTACGCTTTTGCTACAGTCTGATTCACCCTTGGCTACAGTGGAACTTCTGACCCTTGATTTACTTTCCCATATTCACATCCCACCTATGTGCAATGCAGGTTTGTGATGGGTAATTTCAGCTACCCAGGGACGGTCTGTGCCTTGGGCTACAGTTTCTGAAGCCAACTGTTAATTTCTACACTGCAGGTTTCTCTACTCCACAGGCCTCTTCTCCTTTCTTTGAGAAAATGCCACTTCAGGAAGAAGGGAAACAAATTAAATCCAATAGGTCCAAGGTGGATAATCACTATGAGTTGTTTTCAACAGGGGCCTAAGATTTAACCTGCTGTAAACAGGACAATGAACTGACAGGGCCCATCTAACCCTGTAGCTTTCATGCAGAGATGAGGAGGAAGAACATTATCTTAAAACAACAAAAAACCCAAAAGACAGCACAACATGAAAAAGCTTCAAAAAAGCCAAAAGAATTATAAAAATTCAAGGTCTCCCCCCCCCCCCAGCTTTTCAAACTTTCATCTTGGCAGTCACTGTTTACTTATAATTCTTCCTTTCTGAGGAGACTCCTCACATCTGTTCAGCCAACTGCTCTAGGTTCCCAGAGCATGGCCACCATTGTTAGGGAATCCAGGAAGCAGCTGTAACAAAGGCTACCACAGCCCAAGCAGATCCAGGCACTGGAATGCATAATTAGCCTAGTTCTTGTATGCACTCCATTGAGAAATGCATCATCATCACTTTATTACCAGATTCCCAAAAGTGGAGAACAGAGATTAGGAGACATTTCTGCGTGTGGTGCAGGCCTGACATGCGGGCAGTCTGACTCCAGAGCCAACACTTTCAACCACAATGTCATCACTCACTAATCAAGGCCTGAATCTTGTCCTCCTCTGCCCTGCTAAATCCTGTAAGGATCAATCACGGATCTCTCTGCACCTCTCCACTTCAAAGCCTTTTCATTAATTCCAAGCCTGAGAACCTGGGCTTCTCCCTTCCTGGCATGGAGCCCACTCAGTTCACAGGATGGATGAGGTGCTGAGTCATACTGTTCACTGGTTTATTGAGATTCAGGGAGATCCTTCCCCAGGAGACACCACAGTGTGAAAGGGACATTGCCTCCCACCCCATCAGTCCATCTGCCCATGCCTTCGTTTGGTTAGGATGTGGACATACTATCTGTTTGGTTAGGATGTGGACCTACTATCCACTGGAAAAAGCCTCCAACCCGTTTCTTTTCCCTTAGTTCTGAAAAATAATAATAATGATAAAAAAGAAAAGAACTAAGATGCAGTCTTGAGAGATGACTGTGAGTACAGACTGAGAGCAGTACACACAAGAGCAAAGAATCCAGGGAACATCTGAGGGGAAACATAACACCAAGGAGAGGGTATGGATAGCCCAGAACACACGAACTGGGGAGAATGTGCTTAAGTATGTGCATGTTGGGTGCACATGGCTCTGTCGGAAAAAGACATGGTATCAGGTAGGCAAACAACTGTAATCCAAACACTCAAAAGGTTCAGTGAGACAGAAGACTGCCATGAAGCCAGACAGGAAAACATACCTACACAAAACATACAATGACATTAAGACACAAGTAAGTAAACATAGAATGCAGAGCCACACAGTAAACACAGAAAGACATGGCATGTGCACATTAGGAAGACAGCTTAGTGTGCTCGGCACACCACACACACCTACCCAAGCACACCACGGCACATATCCGTAACCACTGTTCACTCACAGGTGCAGGGCACGCAGAGAACCCGAGTAACGGCAGGGTGAGAAAGCACTCAGGAAATATGCACTCGGAGGGTGGGGTATGTGTGCTGGGAATCAGGGGCACACAGAGCAAAGAGGCAAAAAGCATGTGGGCCTAGGTAAGGGCGAATCCCCTGAAGAAGCAACATTTTGGGAGAGGCAAGCATGGGATGTGAAGGACAAGGACAATGGAAGGAGACTCTGGTGCTGAGAAACGGAGAGGGTCCTGTTAGTATGGGAAGAACACTTGTGGGGAGACCCCTGCTGCTAAAATTGCAGGAGTTTCCATGGTTACTATACAAGACAGGCTGTGGGAGAAAAAAATAAGGAGAGCTGCCCCTCTGGGGTTGTGAGTGAATCGCTTCAAGCAGGGTTTGAACTAAACTGTGAAGCGGTGTTACAAAATTATATGAATGGATAAGAGAGAAGACAGTCTGTTTCCCGGAGTATTGGAGACCCAAATAACCCCAGATGCACAAAGTGATGTATATTTATAAGAGGGGGATTGGAACATGTTCTCCCAGTTGGAGACAGGAGTCCTGGCCCTCCTCCCAGTCCCCCACCCTCTTCCCACACCCCTTCCCTCCCCTACTGGCTGTATCCTTCTTGATACCCCCTCACTTGTAAAGCAAATGCACGCGACTCCCATCACAGCTAAGCCGGTCAGGGGGCTCCGAGGGTCCCCTGGGAAGGCCCCCAGAGGGGTCCGGGGGTGTTGGGGGGTGGCGCCGTGAACGAAGCTGCTGCCGAGACTGGAGCTGATGGCGCAGTTCAGAGACACGCTCCTCTTTCTGGAAGGAGAAACACAATTGGGAGTGTGGGAGGAAGGCAAGGGGGGAGAGGCATTGAAATGAGACGTACAGGTGAGAGAAGAAACTAAGAAAGCCACAGAACGTAAAGAACAGATCGAGGAAATAAGTGAATTCAAAAACAAAGGAATAAATGACAGGACGATTGTGTCAACCAAGCTAGAGTGCCACCCTCCACCCCCAGCACCTCACTGGTCCCTAACTACGGCATGGACACAGTGAACACTGTGGGCAGCTGCCTAGAACCAATCTGCTGTGGCTACTTGCCTCACGCACAAGGCAGCTGTGAATGTGAGCTAGTAATAGCTCACAATGGCCTCCCCCTAACTACTGCCAATCAATGACTGCTCTTTAGCCTCAGGAGGGCTGAATCTACAGGCCCCACTCCACAGCCTCTCCCTGCCCTCGAGCTAACACTGAATTTTAGTTAAGACTGAATCTCAACCCTTTCCCTCTCCTGTCCCTGTTCCCTTGCAGGTTTTATGAGATCCTCCACAAATCACTAACACTCGAACCTTTATCTAAGACTCAACTTCAGACAACCCACTAGTAGGTATGGGCCTCCAGTTGTCACCACACACCTCAGCAATGATCTTTTCCAATTCACGGTTCTCTTTCTCCAGCAGCCGGGACTTCTCTTCTTCGTTGTTGTTGGTGGATGACCCTGTCTTCATGGTGTCCTGTGCTTCAGACTGCCATTCCCCTCGGGTGATCAACCTGCGCATCTGGGAGCAAAGGTTTGGGCACTGGGTGGGTGGCTGAGCAGGAGCTGTGTGAGTGAGCAGCTGGTAAAGTTTGGGGAGTAAAGAGCAATAAAAACAATGAAAGACAAGCTGGGCCAAAATAAGGACAGAATGGAAGTCCTGGTTCTATCTAGGGCAGGCAGGGGGAGGGCTGTACCTCACCTTGGGCACAAAGAGCACAACCAGAGTAATGTAGGAAGAGAACACAATGGCCAGAGAGGCAAAGGCAAAGGCTGCATCCTGCTGGCTGGAAAGAATCATGGTGACAGGAGCAGTGATGAGACACAGGACCTGGAGAGACAGCATTTGGGAGACTCAGATATAATGCAGGGTTTCCTTCCCCCCCTCCAAGAGAGCCCATGAAGATGCACTCCTGGTGAATGCTCCACAGATTCAGGAGGACCCTCAACTTTAAATAGATAAAAATCAGGAATAAACTACCAAACCGGTTCCCAGCTCTAGATCAGTGCTTCCCTCAGGCTCTCTGCATTCAGTCTGTCCTTGAGACCACTTTACTAGGTAGGTGCAAAATGATATAATGTAGTGTGTTTCTTTTTAGCTTTTTTTCTTATCTGTGTATATTATATATGTGTGGTACAGGAGCACATGTGTGTACACACCCATGAAGGCATGTGCATATGGAGGCTAGAAGAATACCTCAGTTGTCATTCCTCCTCCACGTCAGTTTCTCAGATAGAGTCTCCCATTGGCTGGAGGCTGCCTGGTCATTAGGAACTGAGGACCTAGCACTGGGATTACAAGCACACATTACACCCAGCTTTTCCTGATTTGTGTCCTAAGTACCAAACTCAGCTCAGTACGTTGCTTTGTAAGCATCAGGGCCTATCACCCCAATGTAATGCTCTTTCTAAACTGCTATGTAGTTATAACCTTTGAACTGAAACATCCCTTTCCCTAAGAGGGAGAGACATGTGAAATTCCAAAGACTAAGGAGGCCCATATACAAGTTATATAAGCAGTAGCTAATTCCTGGTGAAATGCTCTCCTGTGGAACTGCCTACAAGCTGGGCAGGGAACTTGAGGTATGCAGTTACCATGAGCCATCTCCCATGCTACAGTGGATTTTTTAGATGGCATAAATGCCATTAACTCCCTCATGCTCCTGTAGTGACCTCAACAAATGCACAGATTTGCCAAGTGTGAAGGTTAGCTTCATCAACTTGACAGAGTCTAGATTCTAGACTCTAAAATCACTCAGGTGATTACCTACAAGTGATTGTTTAGATCATGCTGGCTTGGTCTATGAGCATATCTTAGGGGGATTATCTTGATTTCTATTGTTAAATGATGTGGGAAGGCTCAGTCACAATAGAGAGTGCCAAACTCTAGACAGGAGGACCTGGATTGAACCTGAGTAAGCACACATGCATTTACTTCTTTTTGCTCTTGACTCTGCATGAGTAGCTCCTTCAAGGTCCTGTGTTGACTTCCCTCATTGATGGACTATACCTTGGAATTGTGAGCTGAAATAAGTCATTTCTCCTCAAAGTTGCTTTTTGTCAGGGTACTTTATCACAGCAACAGAAATGAAAGTAGGATGCCAAGTTAGATGTTGGTAGAGTCATTTCCTTTGTCTGTTGCAGTGTCCTATCTAGGGTGAATCGACATTTGTTCATGTTTCCTCAGGAAAGTCATACAATGACTTTATAAATCAGACATTAACCAGTGTTTTATGACTTCTACACAAATGATATCAGATCTAGTTTTCTGATTCTTCTCCTACCACCTAAACAGTTTCCAGGACTAACACCAGGTGTCAAGGGAGCTTACTGCAACATTGTAGATAGCCATGCCGACAGCCCTGTGGTCGTTGATCTTTTCAGTGGAAACACTTTTGGTCTCATACGCAAGAAAGATTCCCAGTAGCAGTAGCAGCCCCTTGTAACCATAGAAAATGCCTAGGACAACAGGAAAGTATCACCTGGGCAACAGGACCATCACACTCCCAACCCAACCCTCTTCCTCTCCTTGTCCTCCACTTACTACTGCTCTCTGTAGATTCTCTGTGTAAAAAGCCTTCCTCTCCATTCCAGACCCTCTGACATAGCAAATTCTCAGTGTGGCCCCACCTACCTGGCCCACACCTCATTGCCTCCTATGGAGCAGCTAGGAATGATCCAATAGATGCTACACAGTGTCTCAACCCTTAGCCCACCAGGCAGGAACATGTTTTAGGTCACTGTGTGGATTTGTAGAACAGACAACTGTTAGCCAGGCTGAAGAGAAAAGCTAAGCCCATGACCTCACAACCTTGGTCTTACTCTCAGGAGCAGACCAGTCACAGATGGGTGCATCACCCACCTGCCCTGGCTTTCTGCTGATCATCACTATTCACAACAAAAGCCCAAAGCTCTCTTACTCTTGAAAAGTTTAGTGCAATGATAAAGACATTGAAACTGGCTCCTCTCCAAAGGCTCCTTCTCCCCTGACCCCCTGCTTATGCTTCCTCCCTCCCCTCCTCCAGCCCACATCCCACATACCAAGCCATGTATTCATCTTCTTGGAGCTGCAGTGCTCTAGCTGAGGCAGTATGGAGACATCAATGTCTTCCTTTGGTTCCTCCTTGGCAAATGTCTGAGGCAGAAAAGGAGCAAAAGGATGAGTGACTGAACTCTTCTCCAGCTCCTCAACCCCCAGCCCTGCCTATTTTCCTGAGACTTGGTACTGCGCCAAATCCTACTCCAGGCCTGGGGACATTCCCCCAGAACACACTAAAAGGGCTTCTTCTCCACATTCCTTGATGCTTGGAAACCCTACACATTCTCCCAGATCCCTGACACAATAAACCAAGAAGCTTCAATAAGACTCCATCTGGGAAAGACGGAAGAGCCTTGAGTATAAAGAAAACTGAGAATGAATCTCTCTCTCTCTCTCTCTCTCTCTCTCTCTCTCTCTCTCTCTCAGCGGCCACTCTCTCTCTCTCTCTCTGAGCAGCTTCCTTTCCTTTTAAAAGTCAGGGTCTCCCTATGTAGACTAGGCTAGCCTCGAACTCAGAGATCTGCCTGCCTCTGCCTCCTGAGCTTTGAGATTGAAGACATGCTGGAATTAAAGGTAGGTGCTACCAGCCTGGCCTTCACTAAGTAGCTATATCCTTTAAGACCAGATATAGCCGGAAATGCCAAGCTGGTGGGCCCTGCCCAGCTTCCCAACCCTAGAATCACCTCTCAAGTGGTAGATACCTCGATGGTTCGGTGCAAGGGATCCACAATCTGCCAGATGGCAAGAGTCAGAACATCCATGCCCACCAGCAGACCTACTGTGGCATACAGTTTCCAGGGCTCTAGGGTCTGGGTAGATATCCAGAGAAGACAGGTAAGAAAGGTCTTCTCTATGCCTGGGATCAAAGGCTGGGTCTGGGAAGTCGCTCACCTTCCTCCATTCCTTCTTCTCCTCTTTCTTTGTGAAGACTGTGTGGACCCACCAGATCTTGGTGAACATAGAGCCATAGCCCAGACTAAAGCCCAAGCCCAGGAGCCAAAGGCGGGCCTAGAAAGGAAGAAAAGACACTGGTAATACGTGGGACTGAGCCAATGCTAGATGGAACTGCAAGAAGCAATGTAGCAATGTGAACAGTGACCAGGTGACAAAAAACAGACAGGACATAGCAAGCAGAGTATGGAGAGAGGGGAAGGGGAGGGGAGGGGAAGGGAAAGGAAGGGAAGGGAAGGGAAGGGAAGGGAAGGGAGGAAGGGAAGGGGAAGGGGAAGGGTTCTGCTACAGAACCAGAGCATTCTTGCTAAAGCCTGCTGATCTAATCTAGCGCCTACAGTTACCACCTGCACACCTCTGAATGTGACACACACAGTACGACTCATCCACTAGTCTGGCTCATCTCCCAGGCCCTCACCTTCCCTGTGCCCCAGCCAGCTATGCTGAACCACTCAATCTGCCTTATCTACTACTCTCTCTGATCTCAAGCATTGTCCTTCAATGCACAAACACCTCCTCCTTGATGAGGGCCATTCAAACATGGGCTGTGAGCTGCTTCCCTTCTCTCTGTCCACAGCACTTTCTACAGCTCCCTCCCTAGATGTATCTTCTAGTTGTCTCTCTCCTGCTGCATGCTGATCCCACTAGGAACAGACACTTCCTGAAGGCATGAGTACATGTGTGTGTGTTTGCGCTCGTGCACATGTTGTGTGCACAGTACGGTCAGGACAGAAAACACAGTGGAGAACAGAAAGAGTGCCAGTGGAAGGAACCAGGGAAAGAGTGGACACCTCATAATAGCAGAGAACCATTCAAACATCATTGAAGCCAGCTTTTCCCCAACAGTCCCAGAAATTCCATGAGCCAAGAGTCCCCAGAGGCCCTCCTCCCTCTGCAATGATAAGTCCTTTGCCCCAACTCTATCTGCTTTGATTCTGCCTTCACCCTTTCAAACTCCAACCAAGGCTCCCACGGGAAAGCCCGGTTTTGTTTCTCAGCCCATACACCACAAACAAGCCACTATTGTTCATAAGTTCTGAGGGCAGACCCCTTCCTTTGTCTTCAGTACTTCACCCCTCTCCTCTTCAAGGCATGCCTAGCAACCTTGCAAACAGCCAGGGAACTGCCGAATGGAAAAGGTCTGGCACCCAGAAGAAAGGGATAGAGCCAGAGAGAGAGACCAAAAGGGTAATGCTAGGAGGACGACAGGACAGGAGACACTGGTCAGGGAAAGAAGTGCTCCTGAGAGGACTGGGAAGGCCATATTCTACAAGGCATATACTGAGGCACCTTCTACTCACCTGGCAGACAAACGGGAACTGGCTTTTCCCTATGTGGTAACCATCCAGCCCAAGGGGGAACACAGCAGCTAGTGCCAGTGAGCAGCCCACGGCAGTCAGATTGTTCAGGTTGGGCTGGGAGTTCTGGATATAACTAGGGCAGAGGCGGAGAGGGTGGGAGAAAAAGCAGAATTACCCTAACTCCTCCAGGGAACCTTGGCTCTCCAAAAATGTCATCACCAGCATAACCCTATCCCCAGGAGGATAGAGGAGACAGACTGGGAACAGACAGAAAGAATACTCAGGATAAGCGGCTGGGCCACAGGGCTAGACCTAGGGGAGCACAGGGCTTCTGCAGCACAAGGCCCTACTGGCATACTCTAGTTAGAGCCCAGAATTGCGCACTGGGCCTCACATATTCTTGCTTTTTTGAAACAAGGGTAGGGTCATGCCTGGTTCCCCCTTGCATTTTTGGTGAATCATCACCACACTCTCTATGACACATGGCCTTGAGAGTTCTCGTTTTCTTACTCTACAGGAAGTATGGTCAGTACCTCAGTGAGGCAGCCAGGCCAAGGATCAAGTCAGAAGAGAAACTTACCGAACATGGGAGTTGTAGATGTTAAAGGACAGACATACAACAGCAAGAACAATGCCCAGGCTGGAGAGAACTGAGACGGAGATAAAGAGTTTCTGTGACAGGAAACGGAATGTCTTGATGACCAAGGTCTGGTCAGCTGGGGGAGACCCTCCTGCAAGGCACAGGGGAGGAGGGAAAAGAAAAAGAAGGAGGACAGTGGCATGAAGGCAGGATAGGAGAGAGGGGTGAAAGGCAAGCTGCTGGGCCCTCAAACGAACTGAGGAGCTATGGCAGGCAGAGTGCTGGAGGACACTGGGAACCTTGAGAAACAACCAGAAGATGAGAAGATGGGGTCTATGCTAAGGGTCTCTTTGGCTGCATGCTCTTTTTGCTTTTCTTTTTTTCTTTGGCTTTTTGAGACAGGGTTTCTCTGTGGCTTTGGAGATTGTCCTGGAACTAGCTCTTGTAGATCAGACTGGTCTCGAACTCACAGAGATCTCCCTGCCTCTGCCTCACCGAGTGCTGGGATTAAAGGCGTGCACCACCACTGCCCAACTGTTTCTGCTTTTCAAGACAGGGTTTCTCTGTACACACTGGCTGTCCTGGAACTCCCTTTGTAGACCAGGCTGGCCTGGAAGTTAAGAGATCTCTCTGCCTGCCTCTGCCTCCTGAGTGCTGAGATTAAAGGGGTATGCTACCACTCCTGGCTTTGATTGCTTGTTCTTTTTGTTTTTGGTTTCTCTGTCTTACGGGGGGGGGGGGGGACAGCAACAGAAGGGAACAGCTGAAATAACCCTGCATAACATCCCCTGTTGCCCCATGAAAGGTGCAAAAGACAATCACAGAAACAGAAAGCCAGAAGAGACTCAGAGTATCCACTATGCTCTTCTAACCTCCAGCAAAAGACACAAGAACACCACCAGCAGGGTTGTATTTCCCAAAAGTGTTTCCAGTTACTATTTAAGGGAAAGCTCAAATTTGTTGGGGTGGGGGTGATGAAATGCAAAACACCTACTTAATTTCAATTTGCTTAGCTTAAAAAAAAAGAAAAATTATAAAGTCAATTTAGGCCACAAAGCATCTATAACTGTACAGAACACTGCCCTAAATTCAAGCTACAAAAATAAATAAATAATAAAAATGAAGCAAAGCATAGGCATGTTAACTTACTCAGTAACTGAAGCAATGCTTGGGGAACTGAGGCAGGAGGATTGATACAAGTTTAAGGTCACTTTGGTCTACAAAGTGAAAGCCTGTCTGGAAATAAATAATAGAATAAAATAGGGATCTGGGGAGATGGCCAAGCAGTTAAGAGTGCACTGCTCTTCCAGAGGACCCAGGTTCAGTTCCTAGCACCCATGTGATGGGGTCACAACCATTTGTGATTCCAGTTCCAGGGGCACTAATACCCATTTCTGGCCTTGGGCACACAAGTGGCACATAAACATATATACATGCAGGCAAAACACCTATAACACATAAAACATAGTTAAACTTAATAAAGCTGGGCTAGAAAGATGACTTAATGGGTAAAAGTATTTGTTAAACCTGGCCACATTTAGTTCAATCCCCACAAAGATGCAAGAAGAGGACTAACTTCACAAAGTTGCTCTCTAACCTCCACAAGAATACCACGGCATACTGGCCCCAGAGAATGCATGTGTACACACACACACACACACACACACACACACACACACACCCCACCATACACACACACACACACCCCACCATACACACACACACACACCCCACCATACACACACACACACACCCCACCATACACACACACACACACCCCACCATACACACACACACACACCCCACCATACACACACACACACACCCCACCATACACACACACACACACCCCACCATACACACACACACACACCCCACCATACACACACACACACACCCCACCATACACACACACACACACCCCACCATACACACACACACACACCCCACCATACACACACACACACACCCCACCATACACACACACACACACCCCACCATACACACACACACACACACACACACACACACACCACACCCCACACACCCCCACACACACACACCATACACACACACACATACACACACACACACACACACTCACTTCACTGGGCAAGGCAGGGGGGGGTGGCGGGGGGTGGCAGCTGCCTTCAACGGCCTTACCACCCTTCCTCATCAGTCAGAACTTCCTTTTTGCTTACCTCCAATATCTTTCCCATTTCCTGTCATTTAGTATACCAAAAATAACTGCCTTCTTTCCCTCTTTATAAAAAGTACTTAGTAGGCCAGGTGGGCTGACACACACCTTTAATCCCAGCACTCAGAAGGAAGACAGAGGTGGGTCTCTATGAGTTTGAGGGCCAGCCTGGTCTACAGAGTGAGTTCCAGGACAGCTAGGGCTATGTAGTGAGACTCTTTCAAAACAAAAAAAGAAAAGAAAAGAAAGAAAAGAAAAAGAAAAAGAAAAAGAAGAGAAAGGGAAGGAACCTTCAAGGTAAGCTGGGCATGATGGTATACACCTGAAATTCCAACACTCTTGAGATGCTGTGGCAGGAAAGTCATCCTGAGTTCAAGACGAGCTCAAGCCCATCCTGAGCTATGGGATGAAGCCCTGACCCAGGGAAACAAACAAACAACAACACAAAAAACAGAAAAAAAAGCTAGTGAGGTGGCTCATGGCATAAAGGCCCTGATGACCCAATGATCCAGCCTGATGAGTTCAATTCCCAGGATCCACATGGTGGTAGAAGAGAGTTCCCGTGAGTTGTCCTATAGCCTCCACATGCACACAAAATGAATATATAAAATTCGAGGGGAGAACAAACAAAACAAGTCAAAAAAACAAAAAAACAAAAAAAGCAAAGCACAAAGTAGCCAATAAGAAGGGCATGTAGTTTTGCTTCCTCTACAACAGTTAAGCAGCTATTTTCCTGATAGGATCCTGAAGTCCCTGTTCCTAATGCAAGGCTGGAGAACAGCTTCCATTTCTCGTGGCCTCTGTGTGGCTTTTTAATTCCCACTCACTGCAGCAGAGCACTGTTAAAAACAGGGTGACCCTGGGCCTGCTCCAGCTTACATCAACTCACCCCCTGTCTTCTTGGAGGCCATGTTCACCCCCAATCCCTGCCATGACTCCTCTGCCATTCCAGCCCAAGAGTACCTCGCTCCCTCATCCAAAAGTCTGACAATGATTATTCAGATGTCCAAAGAAGAACTTACCAATCCACTTATCTGTTTTGGACCAGGAAAGGTCATCCTTGGTGCTGTCGTAGTAGCCAATCTTCTTGTAGCTGCCACCTAAGCAAAGGACTGGAGTTGTCATGGGTAGGGAGAAGCCACCCTAGGCATTTTCAAGTTTCCGTTTCCCTCAAAGTTGCCCTCCATGTTTGCATATGATGCCATTGACCTAAGCAACTCAAGGACCCAAGGTCACCTGGATGGGCAACTTCACAGCAACACAAGGTGGTTCCCAAGGCAATCTGAATACACAGTACAACCCTTAAGGTCTTTAAGGCTCTTCGAGGAAGGCGCCTTGCATGTCTACCACCTATTCTATTGCCTCACACGTCTCCAGCAACATGTCTCTCACTTGGAGTCTGGCTTCCAAAACTAAACAATTTCTGCCTAGTCTCCCTCTTGTAATGGACAGAATTACAGGATCTTTCTTTCCCAGGGACTTTAATTTTAGAAGCCTCTCTCCCTTTGGCTTGGGTTCTAATGCTTTGGATAAGATACATCTGCCTCTTAAAGTGCCACTAAGGGAAATGCAGTTTCTCTTCGAGAATGGCCACAGTTAATACAACTTTCCTTCCAAACACCAACTCACACCCACTGCACCCTGGCTGAAGTCCAGCATCACTTGTCCCATATACAAAGCAAGCCGAGAGGATTTGGTGGCAGAGGTGGGGGAAGAAAGAAACTTTTCACAGGAGGCTAAGAAATGGGTCTCTTGGCCACACCACAAGAGGCTGAGTCAGGTGGAACTGAATGATTAACCCACAAAAGCTCTGTAGATGCCTCAGTGCTAAGCTGTAGGGAAATGCCTTCTAGAAAAGGCCAGCTAGATGTATGACTGGGACACTGTTCTCACATAGCAAGGAGCTGAGAGGATTCCCTTTAAAAAGAGCTGCCTTCCTAGGCTCAGCTTTCCTTGATCTTTGGGGACACACTAACAGCTCCTATCCCCTCAACTTAACCTGAAACAGGCAACTTCTGGGACTAAAACTAAAGCCACTGGGAGGAAAGAAAGGCTCTTAAAAAAAAAAAATCTGCATGCCCCTTTGAAAGAGCAGAATCACTGCAAAAGACCTACCCAGGGCTGTTCTTTTTTATCATTATCTAAGGCCTGATGAACAGTGCAAGGTAGGCAAAAAGTACCAGGTCTTGTTGAGATGCATCGTTCATCTCCCAAGTGAGCGCTCCATTCAACCCTGCCCGCCCCTTCCCCAGCCTCTCAGCCTGAGCTCACCCTGTAGCTGCTCGATAAGTGTCCATGCCATCCGGGAGCCACTGGCATCAAAGACCACATGGCCCTGAGGAGAAACATGTGGAGGAAGGCAGAGGGGATAAAAGCAGGAGGAAGAGAGAACATCAGGGACTCGGAAACCTTCTGTTTTTGATGTAATTGAGCTTCTGAATGAAGGCTATTTATGGCATCTGCTGCATATAGGACACACCCCAGATGCACATACCCTAGATTCTGGAAGCAGCTTTTTTTTTTTTTTTTTTTGAGAAGCTTCACCCTTGAGATCTGGATGAGAGAGTCCCCAGAGAGGGGCCAGGGGCAATCACCAAACCCTACTGGACACTAATTTCCTTACTTTAAAAGGGATGAGGAGATTAATTCTCAAAAGTTGTTAATCTCTTTAGAAAATAAAATCCTACACTTCTCATCTGATCTGTAAACACCTGGACCAGGTTGAAAAGCACTAGAATACAGCGATTTTTTTCATTGTCATCTTTTCTACCCTTTTCAGGTTTGGGGATCCCTCTTTTCATAGTCTGTGACTAAGAAGGTGTGCATCTAGGGCCCCTCCAAGGTGTCCCTTTCCATGGGGTATATGACAGAAGCTGCCATAACTCACGGAAACACCCTCAAAGGACGAGGAGTTCATGGCCCGGTAGATTTGGTCCGTAATGGTCTGGTTGTTGTAGTTAAAGTCCTCCAGGCGCACACCCGAACGGCCACCTCCTCCAGAGGTCTTGTTCAGGGCTAAAGCCAAGGCCCAGATGGCATCATAGGCCAATGGTGCCTCCTGGAAGCCTCCAGTCTCCTCTGGGTGTCTTTTCAGCCTTTTGGTTAATTTCTCCACAAATTCCTGGGATGTCTGGATAAGGAAAGAACAAGAGGAAAGCACTGGAATGTGTGTGGGCACAGGGGGAGAGGCCTCAGTTCTGGCTCAGACACCGTGACTCGAGCGGATGGTTTGTGTTCATGTTGTTGGGTAGACCATATGCACAGACAAAATCGTTAGCTATACCCATGTGTCTATCTTGGGTTGAAAGCTACAAGATGAAAGCAGAGATTAGCTGGGTCCAATGGTCTTAAGAGTGTGCAGCTGCTAGCTCAGAACTACAAACAACAGAGAAATCTGATGAATAAACACTCTGGGAAATGAATGGCAAAAGGAGAGAAGCAGACACAGAGCCAAGGAAGAGATAGGATAATGCAACGAAGAGTGGTAGAGCTGGCATTCTCCCAACCTTCAGACTTTCACAGCAGAGTTGACCCAGGAGCTAACAGCTCCTCCAATTTTGAAAGATCCAGAAAAGGCGACACCACAGCCTTTCGCAGTCCTGCCTGCCAACCAGGAGGATCATTCTTTAGGGTGCTAATGTCTTGCTACCCTGGTATGACTTCTGTTCGCTGTCTCCTTAGACTGTTGACAGCCATCGAAAATAGACTTCACACCCATAGGGGTCCATGTTCAGTCCTACTCACACCCCTCTTGGCACTCAACCTTTTCCCAAGAAATCTAAAAGGAATGGCAATTCCTTAAACTCTCCTGGATGAAGAGACCTGGCCATAAACATTACAATGACCATGCTAGGCTTTGTCTACTTTCTGGGGGAATGAATTCCTGAACCTCTCAGCACTGCCTTCTACATAACAGAGAATAATCAGACTGTCCCTTCCTTACCACCCAGAAACACATAAGAAAATGTTTAACTTCGTCTTGGCAAAACACATGTAAGACACAGAATCACTGCAGATAACTGTTTGGATTTAGAAGATTTACAGGTATGCTCTAATGTAGGAATGATACATGAATGAACAGTCTTTAATCCTGGGCAATGAGATAACTCAGCACATAACAGTGCCTGCTGCCAAGCCTGAGTTGGAGTCCTGGGACACACACAGTGGAGGAAGAGAACCAGCATCCTAAGTTTATCCTCTGACCTTCACATGTGCACCTTGGTGTGACACACATACACAAAACAAATGGATAAAATGCAATTTTTAAAAAAATGCTGCCGGGTGGTGGTGCATGTCTTTATTTCCAGCACTAAGGAGGCAGAGGAAGGTGGATCTCTGTGTTCAAAGTCAGCCTGGTATACAGAGTGAGTTCCATGACAGAGTTATGCAGAGAAAACCTGTCTTGAGGGAATTTTTTAAAAAACCTTGTTCCCTTGACTCCAAAACATTTTTTTCTGTTACAGTTTTTAGAAACAGACTAGACAAAGGTCTAGGCTCAACTACCCTAGGACAGGAATAGGCTCCATTCCACTCATAAGCATTAGTTCCTAGCATTGCACACATTTCAAAGTGGACACACTAAAAACACCCCTGGAACTCTGTGCACTTCATATGACACTGTAAAGGTAGATACATGTCACATGTACCCACAGAATGCAAAAAACCAACAGCTGGCCTTGACATAAGCCATGGGCTTTGGGTGACAATGGCCAGTTGATGAAGATCACCGACTGTAACCAATATACTCATGATAAATATACTCTGATAAAGGAGAGGTTATATAAACGGAAAGGGCATACATGGAAAATATGAGAATTGTGGATCTTTCAATTTTGCTGTGAATCTAAAACAGTAACATCTTTAAGTAAAAAGAAAGTCCATTGGATGGATAAGTAGATGAATGGGCTCTAATTCTAATTAAACCACTTACCTGCTAAGAAATCTCAAGCAAGTTATTAAATCTCACTAAACTAGCTATTCAGCTTTAAAATGGGAGTAATACTGTGTTAAAGAGCCCCTGTAAGGATTAAGTAAGAACACATAAAATGCTGGGTATGAAATATATTACACTTCTCCCTGTGAGTTTCCCTGGTTGCACCCTCATCTTTGTTCCCAATGCTCAGGCCTGTAATTCTGGTCCAACACCTTACATCTTATAGGTCTCATTTACTCTAACACATTGTAGTTATATATGACCACTGATCTCAGAGTCAAAGAAACAACAATGGGAACACCTGCCACCCAAGCCTCTTATGGGACAGGAAGAGAGGGTACGGACACATGAGTATGAGATCAACCTGGGCAACACAGTAGGACCCACCACAGAGAGAGAGAGACAGACAGAGAGAGAGGGGAGCTAAATGGACAGGAGGAGGAGGTACGGACACACGAGTCTGAGACTGTAAGCTCAAGATCAACCTCGGCAACACAGTAAGACAAACATGAGAGAGAGAGAGAGAGAGAGAGAGAGAGAGAGAGAGAGAGAGAGAGAGAGAGACAGAGAGAGACAGAGACAGAGAGAGACAGAGACAGAGACAGAGACAGACAGAGGGAGAGAGAGACAGTCCACAAGAGTTCACACCTATAATCTCAAACTCAGGAGGCAGGCAAAAACAGTAGGATCTCAAATTAGAGGTGATTCTAGTGTGCATAGCTAAGCTCAAAGCTAACCATAGCCACAACATAGTAAGACTCTTATCTCAAAACAAAAAAGGAAGGGGGATGGGCTGGAGAAATAGTACAGGGATCGAGAGCACAGAGGATCCAACTCTAGCTCCAGGGGATATGATACCTCTGACCTCCACTGGCATCCCTATACACATGCTCAAATATACTTAAAAATAATAACATAAAGTAAAGACAGAAGAAGGAAAAAGGATACAAAATTAAGCTCAATTTTCCCTTACACTCCCACTCTGTCCAGAGAATAAGACAGAAAAGTAAACTACATATTTCCAAATCAGCAAATCCTCTTAAACCTATTTGTTCTAATGTCTCATTAACACAATCCCTCTATATACAGGAGGAGGAACAAGAGGCTGATGATGGCGGTGACGAAGCTGGGGGTGGTGGTGGAAGGAAGGGGTAATGATGTTAGCTAACATTTATGTAGTCCTTCCTGGGTTCCAGGCACGTAGATCAATGCATTTAACCCTCAAACGCTTTAATGAATGGACTCTATTATTATCTCTCTATTAGAGATGAGGAAGCAAAAGGCACAGGGTCCTGAAACTTGCCTGCAGTCACACTGCAGCAAGTGATGACGCTCGGATTCTGGCCCAGGGTGTCTGGCACCAACTGTTGCGTTTATTGTGCACTATCCCGAGCTGCTTCTGTGCTGAAAGCCTCTGGAGGTACCAGTGCTCACAGACAGCATCAAGATAACACTTTCTGAGCAGTCAGTCCTTCAGCTTTCAGGTCTAGCCAATCCTCAGTTCAAAGTCAAGATTACATCAGAAAATCACCATATTGGAAAGGGATTAATCTGCTCAGCATGATAATATCCCCAGGTTTTCAGCTCACTCAGGACAGCACAGCTAGCCAAGAAGAGCACCACCAGAAACCATAAAACACAATCCTTCCCCTTGAGTCAGCAAAGATTTTAGTTATACTTCTCTCTGTCTCTCTGTGTGTGTCTCTGTCTCTGTCTCTCTTTCTCTCTCCCTCTCTCTCCAGGCTGGCCTCAAATTCTCCATTTCCCAGACATAGTGCTTAAAATTCTTTCTCTAAACCAGGGTTTCTCAACTCCCATGCTGTTGCCATCCTCAGCAGGACAGTCTTGTTGCTGGAGGCTGAACTATGCATCATAGGACATTTAGAGGCACCCCGCCTTTGCCCTCCAGACATTGTAACCTTTAGTTCTCATGGGTAACCAGATCAGCAGCATCAGAAAAACTCCGGAAGGGAACTCCAAGGAAAGGTTCAGTAACCTACGTACTGACCTAATTTTCCAGGTGGTTCTGATGGAAATTTGGGGAGTGATCCAAACACATCTGAGGCAAACCTTATGGGATTAAGACAACTCTGCTCTTTCTCTAAGTCTCCAAGGTTCTGCCCACTCCACCCTTCAGTCCAACCCTTGCCCTGACCCACTTCTTTTGATGCTGTTTAGACCTAGTCACTTGAAGAAACTGCTTCTCTCCTCCATTGAAAAATCTAGGCTTTTCCATGAGACATCTTTAGTTGGGGATTCAAGAAGACTTTGCATATCTTTGAAAAGGGCACTCACTTTCTCTAGAAACCAAAGGCCAGAGAAGACTCCTGCCCCCAACATCTTCTCCTAAGGCCCAACATCCCCACCCACCTCTAAGCTCTCTGTCAGTTCCTTCTCTCCCCCAGTGTCAGACAGAGTCCTAAAGTTGACTTGAGGTTGAGGACACAAATAAGCCTTTCTGACTTTGGGAACCTGCTCCACTCCTCTGCATTCCAGAAAACGACTCAGCTCTCTTGTCCTGTGCAGGGAAGTGGTTGTCCAATGTTTCTTCACTGTAGTTTTTAATCAAGACAAATTAAACATAGCATCCCCTTAGAACATTTCAGAGCAGTTTATAACCAGAATCCATGCTGCAGCCCACCCTTTATCTCAATCTCCCACCAGAAGCAGATTCCCAAACCTCATTTACTGAAACACTATCATTATCTGAACAGTATTTGCACATAAAGGTGTAAAGATTTTTGGTTAGGATTTGAGCTTTTCCCTGAGAAATGCTGGGGCAGAGCAGGTTGGAGTTCAACTCAACAGGGCCCTAGGAGATGCATGACCCAGGGCAAGTCACTAAAGCTCCTGCATGACCCAGGGCAAGTCACTAAGCTCCCTGGTTCTAATTTTCTAGCTCAAAAGATATAAATAACAAATCTAGTTCAGAGGTAAGATCCTGAAATTATATATCAACTATCCTAACTTTCCTCATAAAATCAACCATTATTAAAAGCATCATTATCTCACCTCTCTGAAGGCAAGTATTCTGCAACTGGAGTTATAATGAGGATAATAAACAGACACATATCTTATCGAGATCCGTGCGCTGTGGGGTGTGCTGCTGTACAGCAAGGGCCTCTTCCCCACATACCCGCACCCACTCATGGCCCCACACATGGGGCTAGACTGCTCCTACCAAGTCAAGACAGCGTGCCTTCCAGTTTCAAGTGCTAGCACAAGAAAACTATCTGGGGCTAACTGGTCTCAAAAAAAAAAAAAAAAAAAACAAGTGAGGGAGAGAAACATTAAAAATAACTTCACACCAATCAAAATGAGTATTAACAGTAGGGAGTAGTGGTGCACGCCTTTAATCCCGGCACCTGGGAGGCAGAGGCAGGAGGATCTCTGAGCTTGAGGTCAACCTCATCTACAGAGCGAATTCCAGGGCAACCAAGGCTACATAGAGAAATTCTTGTCTTGAAAAACCAAAATAAATAAATGAATAGTGAATATTAAAGCCAGGCATGCTAGCATGTGCCTCAACTCCAAGCACTCAGGAAGCAGCCAGAGGCAGGGGAATCTCTATGAGTTTGAGGGCAGCCTAGTCTACCTAGTGAGTTCTAGGACATCCAGAGGTACAAAGAAATACTCTCTCACAAAAAAACCAAGAAAGAAGAAATTAAGCAACTCTCTGAGATACTAATGTAAGTTACTCTCTCTCTCTCTCTCTCTCTCTCTCTCTCTCTCTCTCTCTCACACACACACACACACACACACACACACACACACACAATAAAAACAATAATAAATAAAAACACATCTGTGCCCAAGAGAAGCTCTCTGGAAAAGGTGTGCCTTGCACACAAGCTTCTGTATTACCATTAACGCCTCTCCCTCACTTGACTTCTCACCAACTGCTCCTTGTTTCCATGGTAACAGCCCTTCCACTCATCAGAAGCCTACTGTACATGCCACTATTTTTCTCTCTTGCCCAAAGAAAGGTAGAACCCACAAAACATGATGTAAACAAGCACAGTATGGGCACAGGTCCCCTTCTGCCACTGGACTCCACTGCTGCCCTCCCTTCCCTTCTCCCCCTTCCCCTCCCCTTTGATGCTCCCACAGTCCCTTCCACCCAAGTGCCAATTTCCAAGTCCCCATGCTCACCATGTTAGAAATGCTTCGGGTGTTGGCAGGGTTCAGCATGACAATCTCAGTGGTGATATGGCCCTCCACTGCCTCGGTCATCTCATCCACTGTGCAATTGATTGATGGGTCATAGGTCTTGAACCAATTGTCAGCATACCACCCAATGAGGAACCAGACATACTTCTTCCCAAAGAGCCGTTCCTTATAAACCTGCATTCATAGTAGGGAAGGGAGCATTTGAGGTTTGGTTTGGTTCTGAGGGAGGTGGTATTATCTCTCTAGACACTGTTTAGCCTCTTGAGAATCAAATAACACGATTTCTTCCTTTGTAAATCTTCACTAAAATCCATTACTTTCTATGCTAATCTAAAAATTCAGTAATATATATTTTTTGAAATCTTCAAACCATAGAAAAGTCTTAATAAGATGCCTCACTCAGAAAAGTCACTCAGAAAAGACAGTATTAAGGCACAAAAGAGGAAAATGAGAACGTGTATGTGCATGCTTGAGTATAGACAAGTGATGGAGTCAGAGTCTACAGACAGGCTTAGTACTCATTATCACCTCAGGTCATTTGCTATCAATTTGAGCAGAAATGCCATAAGGAGGACCCACTAGAAAACCACCATAGAGAGCCCATCCAGCCCCTCCCTGCTCCAGATTCCATCTCCACCTCACAAAAAACTTTCCGGGCTTCAGTCTCATAGAAAAGTCCCACGATGATTCGAGCATCTTGACGCTATAAAACAGAAACAGAAACAGAGCTCCTGAGGGATGCTGAAAGAGCCTGAGGGTTAAGCCGGCGCTTTTGAAGCGTTGATTTCCCAGTTCCAACTGCTTAGTGCAAAGAAATGTTCAATGGGCAATGGATAAATGTCAACTGAAGAGGCAACTAAACCTTCCCAGGAGACTCAGCTGCCTTAAAGAATGAACTGCCTCATCTAGACTCTCCAGATGACCACCTCCCCAGTGACCCCTGGGCAGGCTGAGCCCACAAGCCCTGCTTGCCCACCTTCAGGTTTTTAACAGGTACAGCTGGATCTGAGAAGAAACTCTGGCGGAAGGTGATCTCAATCCCAGCCTCTTTCACTCGCTCCTCTAGGTCATCCAGCGTCTTAGGTGGGAATAAGAAAGAGGAGGAAGATGGGGTACATATAGGAGTAAGCAGAGCTCATGAGAACTGACTGTAAACTCACAGCAAAGGAGTAGTGTATGAACCTTATTCCAACTGCTCCTGGACCCCATGAGGAAAGGATGAAAGAAAGCACCCCCAGTCTTAGGAGGCAGCTTCCAAGAACCACGATGAGCCCCTCCTCAGCATCTGCATCCAGCAACATTGCCCCATCCACCCCATTCCTGACACAGAAGAAATTAGAGGAAACAAAAAAGAGCAGGGCAGGGTCCAGAATAGATGGGATGATGCCAACTCAAGAGGAGAGTGGGCAGACAGACAAAAGGATCACAGGAAGATGAACTGAGTCACTGAGAAAAAGTAGGAAGGGAGGATTAAAAGGCCACTGGACATGAGTTCATAGAAGACTCAAAGAATAATCAGGCTACTTCCCTAGATTGTGGAGCCCTGCACTTCCTCTCTACCTCTGCAAACTCCCCGTCCCTCTTCAATCTATAAGCATCTCTCTGTGTCAACTACCAAATGACAACACCTTTGTCATTTGTCTCTTATTTGTCTGCCTGCCCCTTCACCATCTTCTTTCCCACCCAATCCAATAGCTCCACACTCAGCTGCCAATCACCCTCCACCCATGAAGGCACTAGGTCCATGCTTCCCTAAGAACCTACTCATATTCCCTCTCGTCTCAACTTGGAATTAAACCTACTTTCATAAAACAGTCCTATCTGTCTGGGGGAACAAAACAAAACAATGAAGAGGATTTAAAAAAAAATCCAACTCATGTGTTCCCCAGGCTACAGAAAGAACAAGCACTTCGCCCACTTGGAATGTGTTCTCTTTTTGATAAACCATCAAGATCCCCCCCCCCAACAGAGCAGATGCCCCTGGGACCTCATGTCCCATCCCCTATCCCGACTCACTGAGGTGAAGACCTCTGTGGTCTGCTGGATGGTGGCAATCTTCTTCCAGCCCCACTTTTCAAAGAGTTTCACCCGGGTGGGATTGTGGAGTGTGGCGGATGGATGTGTTCGGAAGAACGTTGGAAAACGCTGTCGGTTTGACAGGGCTGGTGAGCTGGAGCCGTATGAGAGCTGAGGCACAAGGATGAGAGGTATCTGTACAAACTGAGGATATTAGGAGTGTCTTTAACCCTTTCTTGGCTCTAATTTAACTCCCAACTCTCCAAACTTCCCCACCTTTGTCCTAGGAAAAGCAATTTTCAAGAACACACACACACACACACACACACACACACACACACACACACACACACACATTACTCCTCATCCATGGATCCCCACAGCTCCTTCAGGCAATACTACTAGGAGTCCAACCAGCTCAGGTTCTCAGCTGGCTGATTCTTGGCAGTGGGTCCCTCATCTAGTCCTCTTAAACGTAACCACAATCCCTCTACTTAGCATAGCCTAAAAGAGATGACCCTCCCTCCCACTGCCCTGAATACCACAATAAGGTTCCACATCCGGGCAGCCTCAGCTACAAGTGTGGAGACAGAACTGCAGCCAGGCATGAGGATGATCTTGATGGGGTCATTGTAGAGTAGTTCATACAAGTACTTGGTGGCTTGCCCTGGGTCACACTGAGGGAGGAAGGAGGAAATGAAGATTGGCTCCCAACCAAAAAATGTACTTTTCCCCCACCCCCCATCTTGCAATGCTTACTGTCTTGGGCAACCTAGCACCTTCCCCAAGTACTCGCTTCCATCATTTTCACCACATTCTTCTTCCTGTCAAGTTTCTAGTTTCTTCTCTTTCATTCAGCTCCCCTCTCTTGTTTTCCGTCTGGGACCTCAGCCCTGCCCAACACTGCATGCTCTTCCTTCCATATTAACGCATAGTCTACCTCCCCCATTTCTGCTCATTCCTAATCGTTCCTAAACACAAACACATTCTCTCCAGATCCCCAGACAGCTCCCTCAATGGAACAAGATCAGTAGGGGAAAGGCTCAGCACCCCATCCTTTCCTGCTGGGCCCTGACATTCGACAAGTCCATTAGAAAAAAAAAAGGGTGTAGGGGAGTGAGGAAGACTCTAAAATGAGGAAAATAAATAAAATGGGACTCTCCACAAGCCTGATGATATTAGAGGTGCCTGAAAGAGACCGCAACAGGAAAGCTGAAGAAGAAAAGAAAGGTAGGAGGAAAAATTGGGGGAGGAAGAGCCAGCCGTGGGTCCCCCACTGTCTGTTCCCCTCCTGCTGAAGTATGACATTTCAGAAGCTGCTGGAGCCCCCAAAAGAAGTGGAGAAGAAATGGCAACCAGTGGGGAGTCAAAGCAGAGGGGCACAGGGGACTGGAGAGAGTGAACCTGGTGGAGGGGGTTAGAAGGGAAATAAAGAAGGCACCTGGAGTCTGCTTGCTCCCCACTGAGGTCTGACATTTGAGTCGCTGTGGGAAGTTGGAGACATGAAGACAGGGAGCCAGGGGGAGCTGGCAAATCTGAGCACCCAAAAAAATGTACTCAGAACTCAGCTACCTGCTCTGCTGTCAAGGGCAGGACTCACCTGTAGGTTTGGAACACGTCCATGCCTCCTACTTAGCATCTTTACAATTTATTTTTAACCATTATAGGGTCCTTCCCAGCTTACGTTAGAGCAGATACTGCTCCCAGCTTCTTCTCTGCAGTCCCCAAACTGCCTCCTCACTGTTTGTCTGAAGAAATTATTTAATATGAACAATGATACTCAGAAACCTACAGTTACATAAAACAGGGAATGTGTGGCCTAAGTGTATGCCATCTTCTGCTTCATTTCTTCTCTTCCTGTTCTTACATACCCCCCTCCACACCCCACTCATCACTGCAGAGTGGCCCTTCTTACCAACAGCCAAGGTTCTAGACCTATCCCCTGCCACACCCCCTCCTTCACCTCTACCTTCTTCTAGTCCCCCATCCCATTTGCTTTCCAACATCAGTTCGGAATCACTTGTCATGGGGGATGAGTTTAAGCTCAAGCCAGGCCCCGCTATCTTCCTGTAGCACCCTTCCCAAAGCTGGACCCATCTTTGTCTCTCTCTAGCTCCCCCACCCAGCCAATTATCTATTTTGCTCCCTAAACAGACCCTCTCTCTCTTCCTGCCTCCCTACCCTCACATGTAATTTTTCCCCCTGTGCCCTGCCATTCTTCCCATGGGTATCCTGGGGTAAGCTTCAGGCAGGCATTTTCTAGGCAGTATTTCTGTGGATAAAAATGAAGATACTACCTGGGATTCCTTCCTGACTAAGGAGTTTGAACTAGTGTCTTAAACAAATGGTGATCCTTGTTCAGTGATGCTTGGGACCCACAGAGAAGGCAACAATCCGAGGAATTTAAGTTTCCTCTCCAAGCCCCTAACAACCCTTCCTCTGTCTGCAGGCTGACTTCTGCCCCCTTTGGAGGCAGGTGTTTATTTTTAGGTGCAGACCAATGTTCCACACACCCCAAATGTAAAATGGCTAACTCTCCCACCTGTACCGTTTCCCTAACCTCAAGTCTCTGGAGCCACAAGTCAGAAAGGACCTAAACCTCCTTCCTTCCGTCATGTCAGTTCCTACTCAGGGAGAAACCTGGTAAAGAAATCTCACTACAGACCATCCCCTAGCTCCAAAATTTCTTCACCATGACCCTCTCCCCTCTATCCGCTTCCCAACCCTGCATGCTATTTCTCTTTTCAGATGCACCAGGCCTCAATAATAAAACCAGAAGCTAAAATCAGGACCCCAAGTTCCACAGGAGGCCAGGTTTCTTCACTGTCCCCACCCTCCTCCCAGCCCCCTCCCTTCTCCATTCTTCTCTGATCTCCCTGTACACTGACTCTCCACCCCCAATGCTGTTGTAGGGGTTCCTTGTGGACCCCAATTCTCTCTCCCGGTGCCCAAGCTCACCTCTTGACTATTGTTAGTCTTTCCCAGAGCCATAGGCCACACATTCTCCCAGGACTCCCCCACAAGGCAGATGAAGAGTCAGGCAGCCTGCCTTGTTGTTTGTTTTGATAGATAAAGTAGAGAGAGAGCCCTCGTGTCCCTCTAAATCCTACCCCCTCTCTCCCTATTCCTTCCAGCCCCAACCTACGCCAAGATTTACCTTGTTACCATGGTAAATGTAAACCCCTGAGCAGCTACCCAGCTGACGTTCCTTCCAGCCCCCAAACCTGGCCAGGGATAGTTTACTCTGAAGGATCAGCACCTAAGAACTCCCCCCCCCCC